AATTTGATTAATAGTAAGGCTTGAAATATCATAAACACTAAAAGTAACCTGCTTAACCTTATCTATTTCCACTCCACCTTCTCCGAATAACATACGGATTTTTTTAGCTTATAGGGTTCTCATACGCAAGTTTCTCAATGTGATGCTAGGTAGATGCTCTAGCATTTCTTTGTATATTTGTGATCTAGCTATTTTATCAGAAGCCTCAGTGTCATGGCGAATCTCATCAACTTTATTTTCAAAACTATTTGAATAATAGAGCCAAGATAAGATCACTTCGTATCTAGCTTGTATTGCATTCTAGAATAAATAAACTAAGTTTTGCGTCATATCTAGAGATGATGATGGATGTGACACCGAAGGTATCTGTTCTGTAGTCTCAAAAGAGATTGATAGAGCAGAGATGATACCACTGAGCAATTCCTTTGTTAATTCTTGCTCTACAACCTGACTTTTAGTGAACTCAATGTCATCATCATTATTTTTCTGAGATGTAGTAATGACCAGAATATTTTTTTGCCGATCGTCACGATTCGTGACAAAGTTTCTATTTTTTTCCAAATTTTCCGAACTGCTCTAATCATGACCCTTCACAAAAGAAATATCCTGAGAAATTGAAGATGCCTCTTGATTAGCCGATTCATGCAGGAGTTTCTTCTCCCTATTGCACTGTCTAATCTTATCACTAACCTTTTTCTTATGTACCTTATTCAAGAAAGAATCTGTTTCCTTATTTTCCAAGGATGTCTGATCACATTGGTCCATAACAAGTATATTAACAGCTGGCTCTGGTAACTCTTCTGGTATCAATTCTTCAGGTAATGAAGTATCCATTTCCATAGGTAACTGATCTGCAAGCAAATTGAAGTTAGACGAGCTGTTATTGGAAGAATTGGTTACCTTAGAAACATTATCACTTAGCATCTGTCTCTGCTCCACTTTTGTGATCCTATCTCTAAACTCTGCATTTTCAGACTCGAGTTTAGCTATAACTGTCTTATTTTTCTCTAGTTCCACAATTATGGCGTTAAGTTTGCCAATTTCAACTGAATAATGTAATATAGTTTCCTCCAGCTCATTAGTTCTGGCCTTAAGCTTCTGTTTTAGTTTCGTTTTCTCAACCTCATCCTCAGCAACCTTCTTTCTAAGCTCACAAATCTCAACTAAGAGCTTGGCATTTAATTCTCTTAATGAATCTTTGGATTGAGTGCTTGGCATGATCAATAAAATTTTATACAAGAATGTGAATTATTCAATATTATGTTGTAAATGTAAAGACTATGGCTATAAACCAAACCTGGTAATTTGGAACTTAGTAGAACCTAAAAGTTTTTACTAGATTCTACAATTGTGTTGTAACCCAAACTATATTTGGGACAAGTCAAAACTTTTGACCAAATCCCAAATAGGATATCACATGATGTGAATATGATTGGTAGATTACGAGATTATCATTAATAAGATCGTTC